CCCTTTTTATCTGCAAGTGCTGAATATGTGAGCAGTTAGAGAAAAAATTGGAAGTTATGGAAAACTGCAAAATCAGACATTAACAAACATTTCCCACCCCCAAGTGTTACCCCCTAAAGAGCAGCACCGGACATGGTTTAGCAGGCTGCCTTCCCGCCCTCGGAGGGCTTTTGCAGCTTTTGGCGGTTCTCACCTGCTCTTTCCGCCCCCTGCTCTATACGTATTCCTTCCACTTATTTCTCTCTTTCATTGTGATAATATGTATATAACATTTATCATTTTAGCCATTTTCTAATTTCCGTGGCACTAAATCATATTCAGTTTGGAACCATCACTGTTATTCATCTCTGGAACTTTTCATTATCTGTATTCTACATCTGTAAGATCTCACAAACCACACTAAATAGCTGAGTAATATTCTGTCACATATGACTGACTGTATCCTATTTACCTGAAAACACATAGCAGATACTTATTTTGTGCTCACTGTCATAGTTTATGGCTAAAATAATAAACAAAATATGGTATCTGGGGGGATGGGGTGGTGACTTGCCAGTTAAGGGCACTGGGTGTTCTTGTAAAGGAGTTGGGGTCTGTTCCAAGCACCCTCATGGAGACTCACAACTGTCTATTATTCTAGTTCCAATTGATCTGATGGCTTCTTCTGGCTTCTTTGGACCCCTGGCATGCACAGATAGACATGTAGGTAAAGCATCTGTAATGTAAAAGTAAAAATAATATTAAAATAATGGTGTTTGTTCTAAATGACCTTAGAATCCAGGAGGAAATGGCCAGTTTGATGGCCAGCTGTTTCAGCGCAGGGTTCGTGGGGTCATATAAATGAGGGGAATTTGGCTTGAGGTTTCATTTGTGAGATCATTCCTTGATTGTTGCAAATCTCATGCATCAGTTCTTTGCTTTCATAAATAATAATAATTACAAAATGTTTATTCATGCAAATCTTTGGCCTTTTTTCATATTTAGCCTTTGTTTTCTCCCTAAAGGAATTTTTGTCATTTTTTTCCTTTTTGTCTTTTTTCATCAGTGTTCCACTGTGTCAGTTGCCGCCCTCCCGCCTCTGTTCCAATCTCTGGGACTCTAGGTGTCCTCTCCTGTTTCTTTCTATGGTGGTATTCGCCTTCCTTTTTAAAGATGTATCCATACTGACTGGTGTCTAGAGCAGGCATGAGTCACGCTGGTGAGCCTATTTCTCATGCTCTGGTGTGCCCCGCCCACAAGTTATTGCAGAGTGTTCTCTGCATCTCTTCTTCTACTGGAAAGTTTCTGTGAAGTCTGGGAAAGTCATCCAGTATATCTTACCGAGGCTCATTTAGTGACGTTGGGTTTTGAGAAGTAGATCATACTTTGGTGATACAGTAAATGCAGGGCCTCTTCAGGATTGAACAGAACAGTTTTTAGATAAAGTCTTACGTTAGGGAGCAGGGATATTCTATAGACGTTTGATATATTCATTTGGTAATGCCTGAGAGTTGATGTTTAGTTGTTAAGACACATCTCAAACACTTGCATATTGATGTTAGTGTACATGTTTTTAAAATATACACTAAATCTTCCTCTTAAGGTCAGATTTACTGGGGAAAAGTGTGGAATGTAGAGGTCATGGCTTGCCTGATGCTTGGCAAGACCGTCAGCTGTTTCTTTAGCATCATACGCATGGGATGTTATCCTTGTTGAGTTAGATATGGTGCCTTCATCTTAGAAGGACACTAACCTCACGACCAGGGGCTGTGAGAGTAGGAATTAGAGAAGAGAAAGGGCCTGGGATTTGGTCTGGGTCTGAGTCTTTGAGCCCTGAATCAAATGTTGTACAGCTGGGAAAATCCCAGGGATAAACCTAGACATTTTCCGGTGATTCAGATTGTAAAACATTTCGCTGTGTTATCAAGGCCTTTCATGTAAGAGTGGAAGGAGTGATTCCTCTTTTTCTTGTCAGTTTTTTAATGCTAGCAATTCCGTCCGTAATTAAAAAGCATTGGCGTTTTCCTTATGAAAATGGCTTTCCTGAGTATAACGTGGGACCCACTAAATCCGGTTGTTTAAAACCCACTGGCATCGGCCTATGCATGCAGTTCCTTTTGTGTGAAAACAACTTAACATTGATTTTGGGCATTCTGAGTTTGACAGCGTCAGCTTGCTCATGAGTTCCAAGAGGCCCTGAGAATCCAAGCAGCCGCTGAAGAGTCTCAGGGATTCACGGCTCCGCATGCTCTTTAGTTGATTCTGCTTTTCCTTCTGCAGTCTTTGTCTGCTAGGGCAGCCATAAGAGCATCACAGAACAGGTCATTAAACAACAGAAGCTTATTTCCTCACAGTTCTGGAAGGCCTAGGTCAAGGTGTCAGCCCTCCTGGTCTCCTGAGGTCAGCCTCCCTGCTTGCACGCAGCTGCACCCGCCCCTGTGTCCCCATACGGTTTTCCTCTGTGGGGCCACACACACCTCGTATCTTTTCCAGAAAGAATTCTTCTTTCAGCACACCCGTCTGATTAGGCTCCGCCCTAGTACCCTCGTGTTAGTTAGCATAATCATTTCCTTAAAGGCTGCAGCTCCAAGTGGAGCCCTCTGAAGGAGCCAAGTGTTAGGACTTGGACAGGGGTGTGTGTGTGTGTGTGTGTGTGTGTGTGTGTGTGTGTGTGTGTGTGAAAGAGAGAGAGAGATTCTGAGTCACAGTTCCCTTAACATTGATTTAAAACAGCATTGTTTTCTTTTCGTATGGGGAGAAGGGTATAAAGAAGAAACCAAGATTAGCACTGTGCCACGTTACTGTCTGTTATTAAGTGGGGAGGGGGACAAGGAGACCAAAAGCTGCGTGAAACTGCTTTGGAGGATAGTAAGGGAAAACTACGTTCTGTCTCCTAGCCTTTGCCTGGCAAGTAACTTCTGACATTTGCGCTTTTTTTTGTTGTTGTTGAGGCTGAGTGCAATTTTTCCCATGTGTTAATGTGTCATAGGGGGGCATCCATACACTGACTGGCCTGAAATGGTATGTAGCAATTCATCCTGTGTGTGCATGCATGCATGCGTGTGTGTGTGTGTGTGTGTGTGTGTGTGTGTGTGTGTGTGGTTTCACTTTGGTCAACTATCAGTGGCCATTCAGGCTGTTTCCAGGGCCACGCCCACTCCTAACTGCCAAGGTGGAGAACTGTATTCCCTTTAAAGCCTAAGATGGAAAGAACCACTTAATAAAGTGAGTCAGCCTCTACTTTGGGTGAAAAAAAAAACCGGTCTCTGTTTCTTAGCTTCCTGTTTATTGTTGGTTAGTGCTGTGTGAATTTTTTAGCCTCTTAGGAGAGGCCCATGCTGTGCAGGGAGGGATTTTCCTTGGCCACTGAGGTCATCTCAACCCTCAGCCCTGCCCAGGGAGAGGGGTCTGTCTGAGTCACTAGCGGGAGTGCCCACTTGCAGTTAAGTCGAACAGCCTTTCCTATGAGAATGAGACTGTTGCCTCTGACTCCTTTCTGCCTGCCCCCGGCCTCTGGCAAGGTGGCAAGGAGCCAGCTTTCTGATGGAATGTACGCAGTCTTAACCCTCACCAAGATCTCAGCGCAGGCTGGGAAGGCCATCAGCTCCTGAGGTTAGCAGACCAATGCGACCTGGATGCTGAGGGTGGAGCAGTGCTCTGCTTGGTGCAGGGTTTCCCACGCTCCTCTCTTTGCCTTAGGTATCACCTGCCGTTATTTTATAAGCTGCACTGAGGTGCAGAAGCTCTTTATGTTTCTGGAAATGAAGCCGTCTCTTAGAGGTGTTGCTCATTTCCCGGCTCCTGGAGAGTTCATTTTCACCTGGGACTTCTAAAACACACATGACCAGTGTCATATTTACCCGGCTGGGAGAAGCACTAGAAGAGAATAGCTCTCTTCCAAAGCAGACCTTTGGCTCCCTTCACAGTCCCAAGGAGGCCCCGAGGTGACCTGTGTCTCCCTGATGGTGTTAGTATTTCTGATGGTGTTAGTGATTCTGTTGTGCTATGGACATGCACGTCTGGGCCTGGGCGCGGGAAATGTGTGATTCAGCAACAGATTTAAAGGGTTGTTGGCGTGGTTTCTAATTACTGTTTGTTTGGTTCGCCAGTGCCTAATAAGTAGATGTAAGTAACCTCAGGAGCGTGGAATGCAACACTCGTGTTACAGGCAATCATGCAAATCAAATTCTACCCCAGGACTGCAGAGCGCACACCGTGGAGCCATTGTTAGAGAAGCATGCCGTTGGATTTTCTGCTGTTTGGAACTTTCCCACCTGTCCTGCACCGGCATGAAGGACACATGCACCTGAAATCAGCTACCCTGTGTAAACCCATTTCAAACTCACTGGCGGTCTCTGGCGTTCAGTTTTCCTTTTTAATTTAACAGGATAATGAGGGAGGGAGAGACTTCCCTGCTTCTCTTCCTTCCTCCTCCCATCCTCTGTTGCCCGTATAGGAACCTAAAGCACAGGTCTGGACCAGTGGGTGCCAACCTTAGGTACAGCTTGGCACCAGATTGGGAATTTTCAAATGTCTAGGATGTGGTCTCCACTGGGGTTTTAAGAAGCATATCTTCAGGTTAAGGGGCCAGGGATTTGAGCGCTCGCTTTGTGAGGTAAATCTCAGCCCTGACCACACACTGGTGGCTCCTAGAGGTTTTGAGGAAACCCTGATGCCCACCCAATAGACCACATTTCTGGAGGGAACGGGGTTTCTGAAAGGCTCTGGGCAATTCTGATGTGCAGCAAGAGTCTGGCCAACCGACTAACTGACCTAACCATGTCCTAACATAAGGAAAAGCGAGATCCGGGAAAGCAGTGACTTGGTCAAGGTCAGCCCTTCGCTACAGAGCAGGCCTGGGACTCAGGTCTGATGCCTCTTCTGGCCAACGCCAGCCCGTATGTTTGTTTATTGTATTTATTGATCCCTCCTCATCCTTCAGGTGATGTTCCTGACTCCAGGAGGCCTTTTCTGGCTCCTCATTCTCTCCTACCATCCGATCTGGGTAAGATCCCCTCGGTTGTGTTTGAACGGCACTTTTCCTTAGGATTCCCCTCACTAGCGCGGTCGGTTCTGGAGAGCAGCCCCTAACGTTCTTGTTCATTGTGTAACCTGACGCATTAGGTTTCTAGGTACCATTTGTTGAACTGCTGTTCCCTAACTTTCGGTTAATCCGTCGGCCTGCATGCGTTGCTAAAAATAATCAGATTCTGTGTACTAACTCTGGCAACTAAGTTTGCTTCCTGTGGCCTGCTGCATTATGGGTCGTGATCCTGTGGTGGGAGGGGATATTTGGAAAGACAGTGTTAATGGCAGAATAATGAGAACAAGATGTTGGCGTCTTGGCATGTGGACCAGGGTACTTTGACTAGCATGCTGCCGTCAGGGTGCTGACGTGGTGAAATGGAGCCCGTGACCCCCTCGGCAGATCGAAAGTGATCTGATGAAAATAGAATTTCATGGAAATGTGCTTTAAATCATCTTTGTGTTCATGCTGAACACGTAACTCTGAGAGGCCACAAGCCAGATAGCTGAGTTAAATTCCTTGGCTTTGAACATGCCAGTTTTCTTAAGTGACGCAAGCAATGCATTTACCTCTGTCATTCTGGATATTTAGAACCGTGGTTTTTCCTGGGAAATCTCTGCCAGCTTGGTGTGCCAGTGCTTCCTGGTTGTGGCTCTGTAGCCTTTAGGTGGTTGTGGTGCTCATTGTAAATGCGACCCACAGAAAGATTGTCATGGCTGAAACCTTCTTGGAGCCGGGACTGCAAACTGGGCAGTGTTGCAGGTAGATCCTAGGATGCGGCGGTGTTGAGGCACGGTGGCCAAAGTGCATAGACCTCCTTTGAAATCTGCAGAAAACAACTCACAGGCTCATTGTTAGCAGGGACTGTCGCAACACAACCGGGGTGTGTGGAAGTGAACCCGTCACGCGTCAGGGGAATGCTTCCCAAACAAACACTCCTGAAAGTGTTAGCGGAAAGAAAACAGATTTATTTGGAGATAAATGCAAACCATTTCTGTTGCCTGTTTTCTGAGACAGGTTCTCCTGTTGCAGGCCCTGAACTTGCTATATCTCGAAGATGTTTCTAAACTCCCGATTTTCCTGTCTCTCCTTCCTTAGGGCTGGATCACAAACGTGGGCCACTACACCTAGTTCCAAACTGTAAAACATTTTTATATTGAGTTATTTTACTATATTGTAAAACATGCGTTTTTCGTCACTTTTAAAACAAAAATCTCTCCAGGACAGCCAGAGATACACAGAGAAACCCTGTCTCGAAAAACCAGAAAACAAAACAAAAACAAACCCAAAATATTGAGAACCATTTCTGCTGAATTGCGTTTTTATTGTTTGTTTGTTTTATTTTGTTTTACATTTTGGATGAAGAATTCAACAAACCAGTAAAAAGACTAGTGATGAGTAACTAACTTTTGCTATCCAAACTTCAGAGGCCTGGCTGTATTTTCTAGAAATAAGAAGGAGGAGAGAAACTAATGTTTTAAACCTATAAGGCACAATCTTCCCATCTAAGTCACCACTATTGACCTTCTGTAACTGAGCTGCAATTTGGGGCTCAGGTTTTACAAGTAAACACACTCCCCACCTCCCCCCAAAAAGAGCTGGAATTTAAACTCAAGTCTTTCTGATTTCAAAGTCCTGTGTCTTTGGTCCAGTGTTGAGGTCTCCAAATAAGACTGCGTATTAGCGGAGAGCATTTCCTATCCTGCTGGAAGAGCACACGCTTTAGCTCAGTGTTTCTCAACCTTTGAGGGGTCAAATGGCCCTTTCACAGGGGCCGCCTAAAGACCATTGGAAAACACAGACATTTCCACTATAATTCATAACAGTGGAAAAATTACAGTTATGAAATAACAATGAAATAATTTTATGGCTGGGGGGGTTCACCATAGCATGAACTGCCTTAGGAAGGTTGAGAACCACTGCGTTAGCTTCTTGGATTTTCTATTAAGCACTGATAAGTTGATGAGATGACATTATTTGTGATGTGCGGAGAAAAGGGAAGCAGGGTCCGTCTCAATGGGCGTGGGAATTTTTGAGCTGCCTTGAAAAACAGCATGGTGGTTTATGAAACAGAACTGCCAGACAGTCCTGGTTCTACCATGTGCTCAGAGGAGATGAAACCAATGTCTGTGTTTCTGTGGCCTTTGAAACATTATTTGTAATAGCTCAAGTATGGAAATACATGTCTATTGATGATAAATCGATAAAGAAATTATGGGATGTGTGTGTACATATGTACACACCTATGAGTATTATTTAGTCATAAAAAGAAGGAATTGTGCCATTTGTGATACCATACAAGAGTCTAGAGGAATTGTGTTAGTTAAAATATGGCAAAAACATTACTGTTCATTTGTGGAATCTGAAAAAGTCAAACTCATAGAAGCCGAGAGCTGAGCAGTGGTTGCTGGTCGTCCAGGCCTGGAAGAGGAGCATGAACAGGTGCTGGTCTAGCAGCACCTTAAGTTCAAGGTAAGTGCATTCTAAAAACCAGGTGTGCAGCAGCGTGGTGTGGTGAGTGGTAGTGAACCCAACCGAGGTGACGTACACACAGTGTGAGTGCACAGCAAAGCACTTTATGTGAGTGTGTTCACTCTACAAATTACGTCATCCTAAGAGGGTGGAGCTAACGGCCGCCTGTGGTCTAAAGTCATAGCTTTAGAAATCCGCGATCTGATTCTCAGATACGTTTGATTTGGAAGAAGCAGATGAGCCAAATGATTTGTGGTTTGGCCTTCATCACTGAGATCCTGGATTTGAGAATCCGGCCTCCATGGCGTGCTACCTACATGATTGTGGAAAAATCTGTCTGCCTTAGTTTCTGCATCAGTCAAGTGAGACATCATAGCTTCATTGCACTATTTTCTTCCCATGGGCTCTGAGTTAGAAAAATATAGTAGCCCTATAAAATGGTTCTGTCCTATGTACACAAATCTTGTTCTCTCTGCTGGGACATTGTCCACTTCCTGTTTAGGAAGCTTGTCCATCAACTCTTTATGGTTCACAGGTGGGTTACAGGGTTTCCTGGTTGCTTCCTGGAGATCTCTGACTAAGCTTGGTGGATGAGACGTGTTTATTCTAATCAAGCTGAGGATCACTATTCTGGCCTCTTCGGTCATCTGAACACACAGCTAGGTGAGGAATGCCTGGATGGAACCCGTTCCTGCGTAGTCAGCCACAACGTGTATTTGTGTGGAGTTCAGGCTTATCTGGTGTGTCACCTTCTGAAAATGCTCTGTTTCCCTTGCTCTGGGGTGCTACTTCATCGGAGTTCTGCGCACAGCTCACTTCCTTCTATGAACTACTTCCCGGTTTGTCTTCCCAGCTCCTATATTCTTTGGTCCTTTGTTAGCGTTTCTTGACTGTAGGATGTCAGAAAGTTGACTTTTTTTTTCTGGTATAGGTTTCTCCACATATACTTCTGTACCCCAAGGATTTCAGTTACAAACCCTTTTTAACTATTTTGAGTTTCAAGCTCTCTATCTGATGAAATCTAGATTTGCTTCATGCCTCACATACCCATCCTGCCTCTTCATCTGCTACCTTCCCCATCTGTGGATGGTTTTACCTTCTCCCTGTATCCAGAGTTGAAATGTTGTCCTCACGTCCTGGGGAAAGTCTTGGTTTCTCTTTGGTTGTCTTCATTCCCTCCAGGACTTGAGTTTTCATTCCAGAACGATTTTGCATTGGTCTCCTCTGTCTCTACTTCAGTCGTCCTTGTCACCTGCCCTCAACAGTGTTCTGATGTGTGACTCCCACCATTGCATCGGAGAGCACTGTGATGCTGCGGGGCCCCGGTATTGCTTGCCCGGAAGTGTGTGTTTCGCTGGGCTCCATCTGGATTCTTCCTCTACCTCTTGTTTGTTGCTGAGCCTCTTATCTCTGCCTTCCTTTGGGGTCACGTTGGCTGGATAGCATGGCATGTCTGACGTGAGGATGCACTCTCTCTGTCTTTTCATTTCTTTCAGTCTTGCGGGTTGACACCCAGGCGTTCTCTTAAGCACACGGAAACACTTTCTGCTGTCCCGCCATCAACTCTTCCCCTTTCCCCCAAAGCTTTCCTTTTGCAGCCAACTTTTGTCACATCCTTTCAGGGCTCGGATAGCATTCTCCCGGGACTCTCCTCTCACCACCAGCCCCAAATAGTTGCCTGTGGCATTATCTGCCACAGCAGCCTGTGTATTTCCTTCCTATCACTAAGCAGTGTAAGTTATTCTAGAAGTACCGACACCAGGCTTCGGCTGCAGAATTCAAGCTCCCCCCAAAGAACATTTTATGGTTTGTGCATTGGTGCATCTTTACATGCACAGTTGTAGGTCCTGGAGCTGCTGAGATGGACTCCTTTTTTCTTTTAGTCTCCGTGATTGACAAAGAGCTCCACTACTGAACTGCATACGTGCTTCTTCCTTTCTGTACAAACCCATTTGTGTATTATTTCATGTGTTTGTGTGTGCGTGTGTGTATCCCTGCATGAGTTTATGTACCATGTGTGCAGGAACCCATGAGAAGGCATCGGATTTCCCTGGAACTGGAACTAGAGGCATTGTGAGCCTCTAATTAATCAGAGGGATTATGAGCCACCATGTCGGTGCTGGGAACCATAGTTGGGTCCTCTGCAAGAAAAGCAAATGCTCTTAACGCTGACCCTTCTCTTCGGTCTCTCTTTCCCTTTTAAGGAGAGAAAAAAATGGAAAAAAAATTGAAAAAGATTTGCAGAGCTAGCCGTATCCTTTCATAATTAGTCAATTAAATAATTCCTAATCTGTTGTGAAAGCGGCACTATCTCTTATTTGTTGTTCCCTAGAGACCAGAGTTTTCATCTTGGTCTGATTCTTACAGTCATTTCCCTGCAAAATATTTCTAATCAACATGCTGAAATTGTATTTTATCTGTTTTTCAGTTTTAGGCATTATCCTTTGGTGTCAGTGTTTGCTTTCTTATCTTCTTGCCCCTCGTTTCTCTGTTCTCCTTTTGCCAATCATAATCATATTGTAATTGTACTGTAATTTGGGTGAGATCGATATTCAGTGTTTACTTTATTGCAACTGTGGAATCTTCTCCACAGATGAGCCGTTTAATATTGTTTGGTTTATGTTTTCTCTCAAGATTAGTTTATGTGACCAGTATTGACTTTTTTATCATTAATTTTTGATAGAGTTATGAATAATTCAACTTCAAATTCTTTACTACTTGTAAATCTCCGTTCTGTATAACCAGCCAATGGGGAATCTGTCAGGCCCCGAAACCCGTTCCTCTCGGTGGAGAATGGCTTCCACTTGGCACCATCCTGCCCTCTCCTTTAGGCTGTCTTATACAAAAGCCCTGCTGTGTGTTGTCTTCATGGTTGGTTTGTGAACCCATTTCCAGTGCCTCACAGAGGAAGTGGGATTCCAGAGATGAGAGACCCGTGTCTGAAAATGCCTCATCCCCCTGGATCTTAAGTGATGTCTTAGCTAAGTGTGAATGTTCGGGCTGGAAGCTGTCAGCTTTCAGAATTTTTGGCACCTTCTTCTTTTCTATGTGTTTCTCGAGCTATTTCTTCGAAAGTTGCATACATCAGATTCCAAAATTGAATCTTTTGTATGAAAACCTTCCCTGTGGAATTTTGTAGGCGTTTCTTTTTGAATCCTGATTTAGAAACCTTGGTTAACGTGTGGATCATTTGCAGATCCTTTCACTCTGGAAGCCCTCCCTTCATTTCCCTTTTTTAATGTCCTCGGCTGATCTGGAACTCACCATGCAGCGGTGATTCTCAACCTTCCTAATACTGTGACTCTTGTCACGTGACTCATGTTGTGGCGACCCCTAACCATAACATTATTTTTGTTTCTACTTCATCTGTAATTTTGCTACTATAATGAATCATAAAGTAAATATCTGATATGCAGGATGTCTGATATTTGACCCCCAAAGGGGTAACCACCCTTAGGTGAGAACCACTGACATAGACCTGGCTGGCCTTGAACCCTCAGAGGTCTCCCTGCCTCCCAAGTGCTGGGATTAAACCCTTAGATTGAGAATCTCTGATGTAGACCAGGCTGGCCTCGAACTCTCAGAGGTCTCCCTGCCTCCCGAGCGCTGGGATTAAAGGTGTGCATGTATTTCCTTTCTTTTAAAGGAGAAAATTTAGTTCTGGAAGCAAAATTGCCTTTAATTCTAGAAAAATAATGTACTTTGTGCTCGAATATTTTTTCTTCCTTTCTAGTTTTTCTGGTCATGAAAACTTCACTCTTCTGATACTGACACCCACACTTGGCACAATTCCCCTTTGATTTCTTGGTCAGCTTCGTGAACATTCCCTGATTGTATCTCTCAAGCCTGCTGGTGAATTTTTAATTTTGCCACAATTTGAGGTTCCATAGTTTTTGTCCTCCAGGTGCTTCTCTTTTGGTAATGTTTTCTGTTCTCTCACAGGTATGTTCGTCTCCGATGATGAGTCTGAAGATGTCCTGGTGTTGTGTCCCCCACTCTACCCTCCCCCTTCTTTTATCTAGGGGATTTTTTTTTTAACAATTCCTCTTGCAATTCCAGGCTTCCTCCACAGTGACTTGGCTGGACTGTTTGATTTTTAGGAAGCCTTGATATTGGTATTTTTAGGTCTTTATTATCGTTGACTCCAGCTATTTATGAAATACTTCAACCAGAATGTAAACTTTACATTTTTTCCTTCCTTTATAAAGAAAAAAAGGGAGGATGTAGAGGTGGGTTGTGAGCATGGCTCAGGGCACTTGTGTAAGGCTCTGTGTTCAGTCCCTAGCGCTGACAGCCCGCCCCCACCCCCCACAAGGATGGTAGTTTCCTGTGAGAAAATAGAACCAATGAGAGAGGTCTGGGTGGAAGTCTTGGGGTCTCCACATTGACATTCAACTTCTGTAAACTCTCTTCTCTGTGTGGATCTCCATTCTGAGTTGAACTTAGAACCAGTCCATGGATCCTTGCTGAGGAAACCATCCTAGTGTTTGGTGGAGTTGGGGTGGAGGCTTCCTGTCCCACCCCCACACATTCACTACCACCATGGAAGGTAGGAGGGTGGGTAACTGATTTTTTAATAAAATTTGACTCAGCCATCCTGCCTCACCTTTGCCTCCTCTTCTAGAAGAACCTGTGTGGTTGTAATGAAGTTGCCTCTGGCCCTTCCTCCTTTAGGATGGAGCTTCTCAAGTGCCTACACCAGTTGCTACTTGCCTGGGGCTTTCTCTGTCTTTCAAGCAGGCATTTGCCGTCCTGTGCCCTTGTTGGTTTCTGTGCTGGTAGGTCAGGATTCTCACTGATACATGCTCTGATTGCTGTTTATCAGGCATAGAATCGCATGTTTCTGTGCAGGCTCTGACTCTCCAGTTTATGCGTGGTTACTTCTGCTGAGGTGGGAGGACAGGGAAGGGAGGAGACTTGTGGTCTGTTCCTAGATTATCCACACCTCTATAACCATGAAGGCTCTTTCCTGGCCTCCCATCCTGTCCTTAAGACCAAGGACCCGAAGCAAATGGTTTCAAGTCTCCTTTTACTCATAGGCTTCTTTCATCTAAAGAATCAAGACGATGTGTAGCTGAGCACTAGCGTAGGGAGTGGAGATGCTACAGTGGACAGAAGAAATGTGGAACTTACGTTTCCTTGTGTTAGTCAACTCAGCAATTCCAAAAAAACCCTTGAAGTTTTAACTAAAATGGCAGCCCATGTTTCACGATCAAGAAGCTTGTAAGAGGTTAAAGATTCTGAAGTTTTTTCCCCTGTGGGCATTTTTGGTCGGTGGCCAGTCAGTACCAGAGTACACTGGATTCATGTTCTCCCTAGTGAGAAGATAGGAAAGGAAAGGAACAAAGAGGCGTTTTCCCCTCTGTGTCCCCTGGAAGGGAAGGCCTCCTGGGAGGAACTGCCAGGAACTGTGGTGTCCTTCCCGTTAAAGCTGTGCATGTGGAGATAATAGTTCCATCTGTATATTCTTTTCTCCAAGTTGCTTTTCTCAGTTGGGACTGAAGATAGTGGGCATTGCCTGTCACTGTGGTTTTGACTGGAGAGTTTGATCATTAACCCAGCATACTCCTCTGTGGTCAGTACAGTGACTGAGGAGAAATTGGGATTGTGACATCTTGACCTCATGGATTAAGGACTGGGGATGGCTTCCCTTGGGCAGATCCCACAGGCTGATCACCCCTCCCCAGTTGCAAGCACAGAATCTCCTCTGCAAGGTGTGCAGATTATTCTGGAAGTCCAGCAGGTAGTTGATATTTACACAGTCCTTGCACTGACATTTGGGAACTATTACTTTAGGAACAGGAGGCCAAGAAAACAACAACAACAACTCAGACTCAAGTATTTGCAGAACTCAGAAAAAAATAAAAAGACTGAAAGAAGCCAGGATACCCGGTCAGCTGACCCTCTCTTGTCAATCACGGAAACTGAGACTCAGCCTTCCTCAGTTGCAAATAATGCAATATATATATATATATGATATATATATCATACATATATATCTCACATATATATTACTTGAATAGTTGTAATCACATTTTATATTTCTATAAGTGTGTTGTTCTACTGTCATCTCTCATTTTTTCCTTGCATGAACCTGTGGGGTTGGGCACATGCATGATGTGTGTGTATTTGTTCACGTGGCTATGTGCACAGATACATGTAGGTGTGGCTGCTTGTGGAGGCCAGAGGTTAGAGACCTGCCTTTATCTCTCCATCCTGTGTACATATATATTTTTAGACAAGGGCTCTCACTGAACCTGGAGCTCACTGATAAGCTAGGCCAACCGGCTGACAAGTTCAGGGATTTGCCTCTCTGTCTTTCCAGGCTCCCAGCACTAGTGTTACAGATGTCCCACATATGCCTGGCCTCTTATTGGTGCTGGGGATCCGAACTCTGGTTTTTGTGCTTGCAGGACTGGAAGTTTTCTGAATAAGTCATCTCTCGTCCCTCATGCCTATTTTTGATGCTAACATCTTCACCTGGTTATGCCTGTTTTCCTCAATGACCCCTTCCTGTTTTTCTTTCATTCTTTTCTCTCAATAAATTTATATATGTGAGAATATATCATATAAATTTCATCTGCAAAATAAACCACGGGAAAGATATAAAATATGCTTTCTTTAACTTTATTGTCACCTAAGTTCTGCTTTATGCCATTGATTCTTTATTAAAGATTTAGTAGAGTCAAAATACAAAGACCTTGGCTAGGCCCTGAACATCTATAGCAGAAGAGGTAGATTTTTCTCAGGATTCTTGCTTGTACCCTCTCATTAAAATTTTAAACTTTTAATTAACATAGTAATTGTACGTGGTTATGGAAAGCAGTGTGACACACACACACACATATCAAATTAGAATTACGTGCATATTTGTTTATGTTAGGGACACTCTAAATTCTTCCTCCTAGCTACTTGAAGTGTATAACTGATTGTTTATCTGTTGTTTTTGCAGTGTGCTATACAGCATCAGAAGGCTTTATCTGACCATACCCTGTGCCTACTGACTGTCCTCACTGTTACGTGGTTTTGAGACTCTAGAAACCACAGTTCTGCTCTATTTCCATGAGACCAGCGTTTGTGCTTCTGCATAGAAGTCAGAAACATGCAGAATGTCTTTCTGTGCCTGTCTGGTCTCACTTCATATGGCGTCCTCTCGTTTCATCTATGTTACTGAAAACGGCAGAAATTTCATTATGGTAAATGTTACTGTGTTTTTCCACACATGTTCTTTATCCGATGGTGGATCTCTAACTGATACCAATCTGGGGCTGTTGTGACTGGCTTTGGTGTGTACAGAAGGGAGCAGATGTTGTAGGGATTTAGATTCATTCTAATTCTCTCTTCCCTGACCCCACCCTCTCCCCTCATTATTTTTGAGAGTTGAGACAGGATATCATATACGTATGATACTTATGCCCCTCTCCAGGTGAGATCTAACTATGTAGCATAGATTAAGTTCCTTTTCCCCCTGTCTCAGCCTCTCTAGTGTCGGGACTACAGGCCAGTGCCACTACACCCACGTTTAACAGTCTCTTAATTTGCCTTATTTATTTGAAAGCCATTTATAACAAATTGCCCATGTTTTATTTACTGTTTCCCTTAATAAAAAAATACACTTTCCCCTTCTCTGATTTCTCTAGATTTTTTATTGTAATCAATTGGTGATTTTTTGATTGTAAATATTTTTTTCATATAATGTATGTGATCATGGTTTCCCCTCCCTCATCTTCTCCCAGATCCTCCCCCTCCCCCACCTCTCCAACTCTAGCCTTCTTTTACTCTTTCTTTAGAAAACAAAAAGGCAAACAAGCCAAGCAGAATAAAACAAAACAAACAAAAAATAAAGAAAAAGCTTGGTCGAGACACCCATGGACACATACAAAGTCCATAAAATCACAAAGTCAGAAACCATCATATAGAAACAAAAGACCAGTAAAATGAATAGAAAATGCTAAACAGAGCATTATAAGACCAAAAAAAAAAAAAAAGAAATTCAAAGCTACCACTGAGTTCATTGTGGTTGACTATCTACTGCTGGGCATGGGGCCTGCCCTCGAGTGTGTTAACTAGACTGCTATAAAATGATGGTCTTAGTTCTTTTCAGTTACAGAAACAATGCGTGCTGGTTGCACACCGCAAAGTGGTTTCCTTCATAGAAAGTCTTGAAAGGGTTTACAGCAAGAGCTGCTTCATCAGAGTTTTGTTTTCAAAGGTCACTTTGGCAACTAAGAGGAGATGGAGTCTGGAAGAGGGCAGAAGGTGCTAACAGGACAGGCACCAGGGAGGTACCTTTGTACAGAGGACAGACGGGCAAGATAGACAGTGGAAGACAGAGTTCAGAATCCTCAGCCCTGTCAGATGCTGAGTGTGCTGGTGTAGGGCAGGGGAACGGGGACGGTTGGAAATGAAGGAGAAAGGACTTTAGGGTGAGACCGCGCATCTGAGACGCTAGGACATTTCTGTGTAACACTGTCACATACACAATGGGGACATTGGAATCTGGAGATAAGAAATGAAACCAAGCCAGGCATTGAAACAAAGATGCGTCAAGAGATACCATGGCGAAAACTGTTGGGGAGCCCTAAGTGTTCCCCGAAGGGGAGGTCCAGTCAATGAGGAGATACCAGTAGAGGAATCCAGAAAGATGAAAGGACCTCGTACACAGGGGACACCTCTGTAATCTCTGCACTGGGGAGGCCAAGGAGGAGGGAGGTCTTGACTTCAAGGCCAGCCTCAGCTATGAAGGAGCTCAAGGCCAACCCAGGGTGCAGAAAAAACTGACAGCCTCTCTTCCCAGCACACACCAATAGAATGCCAGCAAGAGTCTTTAAAAGTCTTGGTCAGCTGTGACAGACATCACTGAAATGTTTGTGAGGCAAAAATGTAAGATGGTCGTAGGCTTAGCAGTTTAACAGCCAAGGTGGACCTTTGCTGGAGCAAGTGCGGGTGGAATGCACATTGGATGGGTGCCAGCTGCACCTAGATGCTCATCAGTAGCTGTAAGGATTTGGACTCTTTTTTTCTTTCCCTTTTCTTTTTTTTTCTTGACTCTTTTTTTCTTTCCCTTTTCTTTTTTTTTTTTTTTTTTTTTTTTTTTTTTTTTCCCCTTTGGTTTTTTGAAACAAGGTTTTTCTGTAGTTTTGGAGCCTGTCCTGGAACTCACTCTGTGGACCAGGCTGGCTTTGAACTCACAGAGATCCACAAGTCTCTGCCTCCTGAGTGCTGGGATTAAAGGTGTGCACTACCAACGCCCAGCTTTTCTTTTTTTCCTTTTCTGTTTCTTTTCTTGTATTTCTGGGATCAATCTAGGACCTTGCGCATGCTAAGCAAGCCTGTCGCCTTGGAGCTGCACTCCCAGCCCTTAGGATTTTGGACTGTGTTCTAGTGCGATAAGTGTGCTGGGGAAGGCTGACTAAGGTTGTTGTTTCAGCCACTTGCGATAACCTTATCTTTATTGTTTTATTCTGATGATAAAGCACTAGATATTTAGTGTAAATGTCTTAAGCTTTAAACATATAACCTGGAATCGTGTCCGCAACTATGTTTCTTTCTATGTAACCACTGTCATGTGAGGTATGCCCATCAGGATTCCTGTGTGGTAACACATGTGTGTGCATGCACAGACACGTCACAGCAGTTTGCAGACGTTCAGTTTATAAAGATACAGGCTCCTGGGATTGCTTCCTTCCTCAAGCTGAGTTTGCTGCTGTGGGATCGTCTACAGACTACTTTGTTCACGTCAGAAGTGCCGCCGTCTGCAGTTAGCTTTGCTGCTCTGTTGTCTGCAGCTTTTTCTGGGCGTTTGAGCTTTCGCTAGACATTGTTGTGCCCTGGCATAGCTTTCCTCAGACATGTAGCATCCTTGGGCATATTTGTATCTCTTCCGATCCACGTTGCAAAGTTCTCAGAGTGAAATTGTGGGGCCAAAGGGCAAGCACATCTGACATTTTGATAATGCTTCATTATCAGAAGAGCTTTTTTTCCCCTGGTCATTATCATTGTTAAATATAGATGGAAGATATGTGACCATGAGAAAGGTTAATATTGGGAAGACTAAAGAGTAATTGAGGTCGTGAGGGAAAATGCTGAGTAGGCAGTAGTCAGAGGGTCAGTGGGGATGGGGACCTTGGTCCAGGAGGTGGCTTTTTGCTGAGGTCAGAGGGGAGAAGCCACCCAGCCGTAAGGAGGAGGGCGACAGGATCCTCAGCATTGCTGTGTCCACAGACCTTGCCCAGTGCAGACATTCCAAACATTGCACTGCTTAGATGTATAGTCGAATAGTTAGCCACTCCTTCCAGGAGCTCAGCGGGGCTCCCATGTAATAGTGTCTGCTGTTATGTTTTTAAAAATTAAACGTTAAGATTTCCTACTGAAAGCAGTTGAGGAGTTGGGGATCTGGAAGGTCATTTTTGCATAGAGAACTCTGGCCCAAATTAGAGAAGACACCCGATTTAGTCATTAAAAAAAAATTTAATGTTTCGTTAGCATATCTTAACTATACATAATGGGCTTCAATATGCCATTTTCACGTATGTACATAATGTCTTTAGGCCATCTTCACCCTGCTTACCGGCTCTAATCCTCTTCTGTTTATGAGCCCCACTTCCACTTTCACTTTGGGCTCATGTGTGTGCACGCTGGCATCTGACCCCATGAATTTCATTATGATTTGTTTACAGGAGCGTGGCTGGGAGCTTGTTTACAAGCCGTGCACCTTATACCCATGGTCACACCACTGAGGAAGGTCTCCTGTCCCTCACCAGTCACTATCCGCTTCTAAATCCTCAGAGGTGGGCAGGGCCTCATGAACCCCAGCTTCCATCATGACAGAATGCTCTGACAAGCCCAGTCCTTTGTGGATCATGTAGCACTAACCACGGATGTTTTCAGTTCCGTGGCGCAGCAGCCACGTTATGCCTGGAAGTCAGCCACTCTCTTGTGTCCTTGCTTCTCCAGCTCTTTCTGCCCCTTATCTCCGATGTTCTTAGGGCTGCTGTTTTTGTCCCATTTATGGCCAGACATTCAGCGGTCACCACTGATTACTGCAAAAAAAAGGAGTTCCTCTAATCAAAACTCCCAGGAGCTCTAGTGCAGGGAGTAAGCTTTGCTGTTTGGAATGCAATTTGACAGGCCCTTTAGGGTCACTTAGCAAAACAGCAATAGCTTCCTCACGGGGGACCTTTGCTCTTCCCAGCCCTAGGCTTTTGACTGAGTTTACAGGCCCAGATAGCAGTTCTCTCAGGGGAGCAGGCCTCAGATCATATTTTAAAAAGTCACTGATTTCTCCTATAACAAACTTGCTACCGTTACTCCTTGTCTGTCTGGTTGACATTGTGTGTGGAGGTCACAGCTGAACAGGTCTGTTGATAGCAATTTTCCCTCAGCAGCCTACACAGCAGGGTTCAAGGATGGTTAGGCCACCAAAAGGAGGCTTCCAGTCCAAATCCCCTGATTTCCATGGATTTCTTTGTGTCCTGTGACCAGCAGTAGGATCTTCTTACCAGCTAGTGTCAGTGGTCAGCCACGAGCAGTGACGATTACCTGTATTGCTTTTGGGTATCAGGGGTCCCCCGGAAACAACTCATATGGGGGAAGCCTAGCCCTGAATCTGGGATTTCTGTTTAATAACCTTATTGGTCTCTGATAGCAGTTTTATCTCCCTACACGGGACACCTCCATTCAAACTTAAATTTGGTTCTGGTTAGCTTATCAGCAGTCAGATTTTCTTTGGTCTTTTTTTGTGTACTAGTTTTGGTTGACCCCCTTTCCTTCCCCCTCCCCCCCATTTCTCTGCCTCCTGTCTGCTTAAACCTTAAACCTTTCCACCTCCAGTTTTCCCCTTTAACTTTTATACCACACATTGGTATTCTCTCCGGCTTCAGTTTTTTCTTTTTAATCAGAGTGCTTCAAAAGCTTTGGGAGAGAGAGATACAAATGGAGATGCACAGGGAGAAGGAGGGAGGGAAGGAGAAGGATATAGAAGAGAGAGAGAGAGAGAGAGAGAGAGAGAGAGAGAGAGAGAGAGAGAGAGAGAGAGAGAGGGAGACTATTTTTTGTTTTTTTTTTTTTTTGTTTTTTTTT